TCCCCCCCTCCTCTCTCTGTATATTAGACCACTTCTTGTCGTTTCAGGTTTCAGGACCAGTGGAGGCTGACAACCCCTCCCCAGGTGGCGCCGGCCCCCCCCACTGTCTCCGCAGCATCTCTCTCTCTCTCTGCTCCCGCTATGCACACTCACCCCATCCTGTCGGTGTGGGGGGGCGGGGGAGGGGGGCAGGGCGACCACAGGCCCGCCGCTGGGGGCATTTACTACAACAGCAAACGCTGATGATGCTTTTAGTCCTTTTCACACTTCACACATCGCATAGACACACACATACACACACAGACACACACACATGGACACACAACACACTGCAGTACAGACGGCACTAAACAGGCAGCCAACCCAACACATGATTTATACACAGAGAGCTGAAGCCGACATAGCTGAGTGGCAGGCAGGCAGGCAGGCAAGTTTGCGTGAGGGTGAGGAAGGCAGGACCAGAGACGAGGGTGTTTTTTGGGGTGCGGACCTTAAGGTGCCCCCTTTCTCTGACGACGCGCAGTGCAGTCACGGCTTGTCTGAGGAAGGCTGATGATGATGATGAGCTAACAGCATTGATTATTAATTCAAATTAAAAGAAAAAAAGAGGAGTGGGCCGGAGCTGTTATTTTAGGGCAGGGGGGAAAAAAAAAAAAAGTCAGGGGTGGGGATCTTCTGTGTGGAGACCTTTTTGTTTTTCTTCTTTTTGGAAAAAAAAAAAAAAAGGGGGAGTGGGTTTGAACAAATGTTTTGCTTTTTTTATTTTTATTTTTAACCCATGAGTCTGTAATTAGGAAAAAAAAAATAAAGACATTGTGTAAAAATGAAAACTGCGTCTGTGTGAGTTTATCCTGCGCTTGGACTGATTAGACGTAGTGAAGAGCAGATGTGTTCACCATGAATCACGTAGAATCAATAAGCTGCATATTGTCAGGATGGAATCAGTCGCTGGAGCTGAGCGAAGCCACACCTGCAGCGTTTTAATGTTAAACATAAAATGACTTTGACAGTTTAAACGCTTGAGCTTACTTGAAATGATTTGCCGACCAAACATCTGGTACCAGTTTTTGGATTAAAACGTGACTTATGAGTTTTATTTACTGCATCTGCGACATCAAACGGACCTATAGGAATCCATTTATACTGAGCGTTCAGCAGCAGGTGGTGGAAAGGCCTCGCCGACATCTGGCCGTTCATCCAGATTCAGGTTCTCTCTGAACGTCTTGAGCTCTCTGAACAATTAGTCCAAAGCAGAATCCTGAAATCTGTGTCTCCTAATTGATGGTTTGTTTGTTCCCCTCAACCAGGAGGAGCCGTGACTGCCCTCTAATGGCCATGAACAAACGTGGCACACAAATGAAAGGTTGAACAGTAAACGTTTATTGCGGTGTGGTGGGGAATTTTTAAACAAACTAAAAAGATGAAATCCTGCGGTCTCCTGACACGATGCCTCAGGTCTATCTGTGCTTCTTGAAAGCTGCAAAGGAAAGAAATACGAGATGATTAACCTTGAAAGCTGCATTTATCCTGAATAAGATCAAATTAGAACCGACTGATTATGTCTGGTTGGTTTATGGAACAACCACGACCCTGCTGAAGTGCTGGAGCAGTTCTTACGGTAAGTAAGAGTTAAATGATCCCTCACCTTTTCTTTTGGTTTTCTTCTTCATCAGCTTCTTCTTCTTCTTGGGTCGAGCGTCGTCCCCGTCCTGCACCCATAAAGAAAACGCGTTAAGACCAGCAGCCACATTAAGAATCGAAATTAACGCGACAAACAAAGCTCCCATTCATCCTGCTCCGGATCGGGCCTGCAAGCGACGTCTATTTGCGGCTTCTTCCAGGACAACATCTAAACATAGCTCGTGGAGTTTCCAGGTCCCTCTTAAATACACTTAACTGAAGGGTTTTTCCACATCCGCACGCAGCGGAGCGAACTTATCAGCGAGAGGCTGAGCGGTCATTAGTCCGAGTCATTAGTCGTCTTTATGACAGCAGACAGGAAACAGAACAGAGACGGATGCCAAACCTGTGTAGGCACAAATTATAGCTGCTGCCAGCAGAACTGCCAACTCTGCACCAGACGACTGAGTCACAGAGGTACCCACATGTATTAGCATTTAGCTAAACATGCCAGAGCCCTTCAACACACACACACACGTCTTCTGTCCAACGTTAAGTGTGTGCTGGAGGCAGCCCAATGTGAATGACAGTCAGTATAAATCATTAAGCCTTTCTGGTCGGTTTCCATTCAGCAACAATCCCACCAGTACGCGTGCCAAAAGCTCAGGGTACCTTGGAGTCTCCACCTGAGCCAAACTACCAGGAAACCTCAGTCCCAACCCAAATCAAACTGGATCGACAGCAGCGTTCCCGTACCTGTCTGCCTTCGCCGCCGGTCAGAGCCGAGATGTCGCCGAAGTGCGTGATGCCGCCGAGCTGGCCCGACATGCCCATCTGGCCTCTCTTCCTGGCGTTCTTCTGATGCTTTGGCATGTTCAGACGCACCATCATCGACTCCTCGTAGTGTTTCCTGGGAGGAAGAAAACAATTTAACAAGGACGCTTGGGAGACACAAACTGCCAGACAAAAGAATACTAAGATTAGTTTGTGGGAGACGATAAAAGACCACAAGATATCTGCAAAAGTCTCATCTACCCCAACCTATAGTGTTGTGACTTTATCAGATGTAAGTAACATGATTCCACTGAGTGTCCACAGGCTCTCTCTCTACCTTTATAAGGAAGATAAACGTAAGTACAGTCGTGACTCAATAACCTGATACTAAATGTAAAACCTTCTTTTATGTCGGATATCAAGGCTGTCGGATTGTCCAGACGGAGATCCAGATACAAGGAGGGCTTGATGCTGGAAGGCTCATTAGTTGTTCATTATTGTTCATAGTTGTTATAATAACTAGTAGTTCTGGTCCCAGTAGAACTTTCTGCTCTCTGGATGTTCAGGCCCAACTAATGATGAATATTCTTCCTGGTCGGGGGACACTTCCACCCCGGGGCAGCGCTCTGACGGGGTGGAAGTGTCCAGAACACACAGGCAGTACTTGGCTGCTGATGCTAGTTTAGTTAGCGCTCACACTTCTGTTTCCTCCATCGGTGGCGGCGGGGGAGTGGCAGATACGCTCCACCGTTACCATCCATGTTTACTTCCATAAACACTGAGCACGCTCGCTGCGTGTGACGTCGTCGTGTCCTCTTCTGCGCATGCGGGACACTTTTGGCTCGTATGAAGTTCACACAGCAGATCACATACAAGTCGCATTGAACTGGAAACGTGAAGGAAGTCACAAAGAAATCCTCATTGAGCATCAAGTCCTGCAGTGTGAACGTAGCCAATCTGTGGGATTGTTCAGTCAGATAATACGCCGTCATCCTGATTGGTGACATTAAATGTCATGTCGGAGTCACAATCCAAGGCTGTCGCTATGTTAAGGCTGTTTTTATGGGTTCTGTTGGTTTTTCCTAAAAACTTGTCAGATAGCAGGTTTAGGATTGTTAAGGGTCGATTATCGAGTCACGATTGTACCTGTGCAGCTCGTCGCGGCTCTCTCGCTCGCTCTGGAAGTCCCGTCTGTCCCTGATCTCTTCGGGGGCGTCGCTGTACTGCTGCCTCAGCTCCTGGATCACGGAGCTTCTGAGAGCTGCCTGTCGGCGACGCTCCACCAGGGCCTTCTTTTTGTCTGCCTCCGTCATGTCACCATCTGGAGGAAAAAAGAAAGTTGACAGCAGGGCCGGAGCATCTTCTACAGGAACCAGACTGTAGTGCAGATGTTTGGTGGTGTGAGGTTTGCTTCTGGCAGCACTGATGAGTGTTTTTAAGAGCAGCTCCAGTCACAGAGGTGAATGAATGACGTTACCATAATGCATCGGGGCGATCTTGGGCGGTACATATTTCCTGCCACTAGAGTGAGCTGCTTTCTTCTCTGAGGCCGCCTTGTCCTCAGCTTCGTCTTCAGACTCCCCAGAATCACCCAGCTGGGCGACAATACAGAGAAACAGTCGGTCAGCAGAGGTCACTCAAACAAAAAGAGGAATTAAAAGGAGCAAACCTACTTTGCTGATGAGATTCTCAGGATTAGGACGAAGCTGCAGCGGGTCGTTTTCAGCTGTAATCAACAAAAACACGAGACAGCGTTGAATGAAAAGTGGATGAATGCAAACCACGAGTCTGATTTCTGTCCTTCAGATCACTGACATCACATCAGTCTCACCTAAACTTCCAGTCACAGCCGTGCGCACCAGTTTATCGATCTGGTACTTCAGCTTGTGGTCCAGCGGCCGCATTTTCTCCAGGACCTTCAAAAAGACAAGGAACATATGTAATATGTTGTCTGGACAGCTGTGAGTAAACACCTTTGTATCATCTTACCGTTCTGATTGTGACCACTCTGTTCAAGGCGTCGCTCTCCTTGATTTTGCCTCCTTCCGTCTTGATGCTGATCAGGTGAGTGAGGTCCTGCAGGTAGAAGAGCAGCAGGTGGTAGCGAAGGTCCAGGAAAGACAAACCCTGCAGGGAGAGAGGAGGCAGATGGAGAGTTGAAGAGAGCTGAAGTTTGTCTCAACAGGACCTGGATGTCTCCACGTCCTCTCCACTCAGCGGAGGACACCTGGCGGCTACATCAATGCTCAGACATGATTTCTGTGTGCAGGTAAGTTCGTGATCATTGTGTTTAAACACAACTTAAGGAAATGCAGAAGGGATCTTTTGGATGGCAGTAAGGATGACTGATCTGTGTGCTGCACATGATAGAGGTCCAGTGATGTGGATTTTCAGGACTACTGGTCGCAATCAAGGAGACTGATAACTGATATCTGGAACACATCTGTTGTATGAGTGGAAACTTCGGAGTCAAAATTAAAAATAACACCAACTACAACAAAAAGCTTTTCTTAAACGCCTTATGGATCGATGGATGTTTAATTAAAAGAGGATTTCTCTACAGGTAACCTTCACTATTGACAAGTTCTTACTGTAATAAATCAGACAGTGCTGCTGGTTGGACTACAGATGGAGAGAAGCAGCTGCCCCAGAGCCAGATGAGTACATTCAATTAAAAATAACAAAATACTAATGATCAGAGAAATGCTGAAGGTTGGAGACGATAATCAGCCGATCCTGTGCCTCTTACCTTCAACATATATCTGAGTATTTTCTTCTGTATCTGTGTATTATTTCTAAGACCTAAAGAAGCCTATTATGCGTGAGTAAATGACTGGAGAGGGTTTGTCTCTCTTGGGAGCAACAAAACATCCTCTGTGCAATAAACACCCGCATCACCGGCACTCTGTAAACTAAAATGTTTGCCATGATCGAAGTCCATAATGAGGGAAGTCCTGGTCCAAGACAGGACGGTCCTGCTGCCGACCTGCTCAGGTTCAGGGTCCCTCACAACAACACAGCTGATTACAGCTGGTGAGGAGTTTTATTTCCAGCTCTGATCAAGTCTTTACTCACCTTTGATGTTTTAAGCGCCCCATCTTTGACTCTAGTTAGCAGCTCACGAACATGACTTGTGACTGAAGCCACCTAAAGAGGAAAAAAAAGAAATAAAATGTTTTATCTCTCACATCTACAGCTCCTGTGTTCGCCTCAGTGGTTCAGAGAAACACAGAATACACCAACAATAAGACGTTAATAGATCCAGATTCAACAGCAGTATTTTATAAAGAAAGAAAGAAATTAAGAATCTCCACCAGCAAACACTACAAGGATCACACAGGATCAGTGGCATCGTTAGACCTGGACGTCTAAAGATAGAGCCCTGGATCTCTTTTTATGTAGAAGTCTTTCCTCACAGTTGATTAAACACCTGCAGCTTCAGGATCCATCGAAGTTTCTGTAGTTTGATAAGTGACCAGAATAATAAACTGGGACTTAATTTTTAATGTTGTCATCAGCACAGACAACAGAACTGTCCTGATTATTATTAGTTATTGATTTGAGGGATTTTATAGCCCATAACTAACCAGCATCTCTGCCCCTGAACTACTCAAAGGTTCTGTCACAAAAACTACTGTTAAATGTGATCAGCATTTAAAAATTAAAACCTAACCTACAAGACAAAACAAACTCACTCTGACTGGCTAAGACAGGCAGCTTTAGTCGAGCCAAGTGGTTCATTTATGTCTACTTATCAGGTTAAAGTGTAAAGATGTCTGGGCTTGTCTGATCGTATAGACAACAACAACACAGCCTCTGTATGGGATTAATATTTAAAACAACATCTTCGTACCTGTTCTGTGAGATTGTTCAGCAGCTCAACAGCTCTGGGTAAATCACCTTCAATCAAATCCTGTGAGATAATTAAATAACACGTCAGAAATACAGCGAACACATAAACTTTATCCACATGTAGCGGTGCAGCAGAGAGGGCGGAGTGTGCAGCTAGCGGCTAGCTTCAACTAGCGGCTAGCTGGTTAGCACACGTCTTTAAAAGCAAAACTATTCAAACTCTCGCTTTAATAAACCTCCTGCATCAAGGAGAGCTTCACTAAACGCATTACACTGTTAGAGTTATCCGTATGCTAACACATGCAGTGGAAATATAGAATAAAAAGCTCGTTAAGCAGCAGCTAGCCGGCTTGTACTCACGTTGTCAACAGGAGCCGCCATTTTAACTCCACTGTAAACTACGGAAGCCGCAAAGGAGCGAAGTGCCGCGGAATTTAATCAGTTGTGCAAACTTTACTATTAAGCTAGTTAGTGGCACCAAGGAGCAGATTTTAATCAGCTAAAATGCATTCTTAGTCTGTAAATGATCTAAGGTGGCCTGCTGCTAAAAGCTGTTGAATTTCTGCATCTTTAAAAACAAAGAAAAAAACATAAATGCAGCATTTATGGTGTTCTTGTCATCAGGTGGTGGAAGAGAAACAATCTGTAGATGTGATGAGAGTCACAAACATTTAGTCTGAATGTTATCTGTGTGTGTGTGTGTGTGTGTGTGTGTGTGTGTGTGTGTGTGTGTGTGAGAGAGAGAGAGAGAGAGAGAGAGAGAGAGAGGAAGTGATGGTGTGATGTGGTACCTGTCTCTGTCTCTTTCAGTCACACAGTTTGAGGAGAACCTGAAGAGAACTCTGAGAGTTTGTGGAGCGATAAGTCATGGTGAGTCTCATCTTCAGAGCTTATTAGTTATTAATTAATTATTATTAGTGTGACGAGGAGAAGCGAGTGCAGAAACTAAGCAAGTATAACTTTGACCCTTTCAATAAAGAAACCATGCAAAGAATTAAAAGTGGTTTGATGCAGCGGCTCCAAGAGTTCAGCACGTTATTCACAGTTTTTTCTTTTTTTTAATTAATAGAATTAAAATCCTATTTATTACTGCGAATGTAGATGTGAAAAGAAAATGAATAAAAAGGGAATATCAATAATCATAGATGTTAAACTAGAACACAGAGCTCAAAGGAATTAATTTACATTTACAGTCAGCAGCCATTATTATTACTTCTATTATTATTCTATATTAATTATTATTATGATTTTTGTGCATTTAGAAACAAACCTGATGTTTTTGTGTTGATGTTGGACTGTCCAGCAGTTCTTTTGTGTTTTATCTGTTCAGTTAATTGATTTTTTGGCCTCTAAAAAATGTCAAAAAAGGAAAACTATACAATCATGTAGAGCTGAAGTTTACAGATTTTTATTGCTTTTTTTGTACAAACACGATTTCAAAACTCTGAAACCTAAAGTTGCTGTAATAGAGACCGAGAAACCAAACTATTAATTTGTTCTCAAAATGGTTGCTGATGAATTAATTCAATAATTGAGCAGCTGTAGCTCAAGTTTCAGTGAGTTTATTGTTTATTTTTTACTCAGTTATCACTCATCGTACAGTCTACGTGTTTAAATCGTAACAAAGTCAAGAATCTACTGCTTACAAACAACATATATTCCATGTGACTGTATTTTCTGCTCAGAATCATTTGTGCCGAATTAAAGTGTATTCTTGAAACGCTTCATCTGAAAAGGATGGCAGCCGAAGAAATGTCTATTTGTACGCGGCATGAAGTAGGAAATATTGACATAATTTCCTTTAGCGGATGTCAAACACACGTAAACTCCTTTGTGAGTGCAAGTTCTGGATTAGTAGCTGTTTTTAAAAAAAATGAGAAGGTAAAAGTCGACAGTAGAAAGCAGAATAAGTCCCTTCAGTGTGTTAAATTATAGTATAATATATATTCATTAATAGTAACAGTTTATTGCCTTTTTTATCGTAGCTGGTCAAGAACATTTTTATACGTGATCGAGGTTTATTCTGCTCAGAATGGTGGTGATGCAGCAGGAGCTACGATCAGTGAAGGAAACCAGTCTGTTAACTTATTTGACATAAATTCACACGCTTTTCTTTTATGTCAGACAATTTGATAAACAAAAATGTCTCTCATGCTGAAGTCAATAACAGCCCATGTGGATGTGTGGATGTGTGTATGTATATTGAATTTGATGCTTATTTAAGATCCTTCTGATGCTGACTAAAACCTATTTGATGGTGGAAAAAAATCCTTATGCAGGAAAAACCCTTCATGATTTTCTACAACTCATTCAACACTTTGCTTTATGTGTAAAATCCTAATTATAACTAATTACTGTGAAATCTGTCTTCTTGATCTATTTTACTCATTTTGCTTCAAAGATCAAAACTTTATAAAAGAGAATAAAAGCGTCTTATTGTGCCTCCTCCAGATGTCTGATTCCAGGGTGTCCTCTGTCATCCAGGAGTGGGTGAGCTCGTACCCGGGTCAGGGCCAAGGCCAGACCCTGAACCCCTCCAACCAGTCCACCAATCAGATGTCCCAGATGGACATGCTCTCGTACTCTCAGGGGATGATCCGGGGCGGCGCCGACGACAGGGTGGCAGAGCAGATGATGGGACTGTCGTACCTGCCGTACACGCCGTCCTGCCTCACCAACACCTCCAGCCCGTCCAGCACCAACCACCACCAGAGCAGCACCCAGCAGGTGAGAGGAGCTTCTGGTGAGTGGACAGAAGGATAAAAACTGTCCTCCTGCAGCTTAAACACTTTTGTTCTTCTGACTCCAGGACTTCTCTCCCTTCCTGCTGCCCACCCTGAGAGCCCCGGTGACCAAGAGGAGCATCAGCAAGGACAGTGCAGAGTATCGCCAGAGACGAGAGAGGAACAACATCGCGGTGAGGAAGAGCCGGGACAAGGCCCGCCGGAGGATCATGCTGACCCAGCAGAGGGCCCTGCAGCTGCAGGAGGATAACCAGAAGCTGCAGATGAGGATAGGACAGCTGACGCAGGAGCTGGACACTCTGAAACACATCCTGTCACAGCGGCACCTGCAGGGCGCCGAGGAGGGAGCAGCAGGGGAGTCCAGCATCTGAACACGGCCCAGAACCACATTCATATTTAACATCCAGCTACAGGCTTCACAGTCATTATCGGTGTGTCCAGGCAGGCCTCCAAGACCCAAAGCCAATCACGTCTTAGTGCTTTTTTATCACAATTGGGGAAATGAGAAAGTGACCTAGAGGTAGTAGATTTGAAATTGATTATTTTGAGTGGAATGTAATGCGAGACATGGAAGTGGTTCATCGTAGTTTTATGTGGGAGGAAACCCGACACACCGGCAGCGTCGTAGCTGCTCCTGAGGTCGTGACCTTCACACTGTGTCAAGGGCTTTTCAGGGTTCACTGCAAACTGGGCTGCACGTGTCCCTCTTCATTTAATTTGGTAATATCTGTCCAGCTTTACATTTGCAGAGGTTCAGTTTAAATCACAAAAGTCCGTCTCCGGTTGTTGATTAAACCCTTAAAAACTCCTCTCTGTGTAGCAAAGTTAGATATTTAGTGTTTATCCATCAGAACAGCTGTTGGCCTACATAGAAGTAAGCATTTACCTAACATGTGAAGATCTTTGTAGTCTGAATCTTTCTGTGTACACACCCCTGAGCCACTCGCTGCAGATCGAGTACACCAGCTCACCTTTCACTAATCAAACATTGTTAAACCACTTTATTCTACACAACGGCAAGTTGTAATGCTGGAGTCATTCAGCCATGAATGTCGACTCATTCTGAAGAAGAATAATGATACAGAAAGTCCCAAGATGACAGGATGTTTGTTTGTAGGACACGCTGGAAGTCTGAATCCATATTTGTGCAGTTTGAGGTTAAAAACACTCTGACTGCTGACGTCACTCATGATGTGTATTTTAGCATAAATATAATAAAACCTCGTATGGACAGATTAACAAAGTAAAACTTGATTTTTTTCCAGACGAGGTTTTCATGAGCTGAAATGACAACTATCACTGCAATGTTGTAATAGCCGTGGCTAACTAGCTAATGCTAAGCTAATGCTACTACTTTATCTCTAACTTGGATGGAATTAGTTAAACTTTACATTGTTTAATGCTTTCAAAACAAGCGGACATTTACGTTTTAAATTAGCATTTGTTCTAATTATCCAGTAACCTGCTCGGTTAGCACTGTTGGTGTTAAGCTAGTTAGCGAGCTGTGCTAACCTTTGCAGCTTACAGGAGAGCAGATAAACACACAGGTTAAATAATAACTGTTAAAATATAAAGAACAGGCAATATAGCAGTTAGCTAAATTAATAAAATGTTAAAAAGAAAATCTAAATAACTGAAACTTCCTTTTAGGTAAATGAGACATGAGCTCAATATTTTTGAAATCGAGGCTGTGACGCTTTCAGGAAGTTAATTAGTCACCGGAAAATTATGAAAAAGGGAGTTTGAAGTCCTGTTACTGTGACAGACTCCTGTATGTACTGTAAGCAGGCCTGTGCTGGGTCTACATGTAGATAACCTGACTGTAAATGACTCTGGAGGATTTGCTCTTTTATTGCTTTTTAACCAAAGACTCTTTTAATGTCAAAGTGAAACCTGAATTCTTCAAAGTAAAGTAGAAACTAATTAAAAATATAAAATGTAAAATCAGTAATTTCACAAGTATTCACCTCCTTTAAACCTGTTCAGGACTTTTGGGGTCTTTTGGACTCCAGGCCGTTTGGTTTAGGTGACGGGTTTCTTTTATAAATATAAAAAAAGGGACATTTGTCCTGCATATGGAACCAAAAATACGTCATCTTACCAGAAAATGTATTCAACATAGCATAAAAGTCTACAATGAATACCAACAATTATTTTGCACATCTTCTTTCTTGGTGTCCAGTGGACCCCCAGAGACCTTCTACGTATGGAAAGTCCTGAACAGGGTTAACATGACTCAGCTAATTCAACACAGGGGCAGCTAACTGATGCTAGAAGTCATGCAAATGACTAGAGAACACGCCAAGCAACTCCATAAAAGCACAAGTCAACTCCAAGTCATTGAATGTCCTTTGGAGTACAGTTAAATCCGTCACGTCTCAGTCTAATTAAGAGTTTGTGGCTTGACTTGACAACGTGACCGAGCACTTTTGCAAAGAAGAATGGAGTAAAACTGGATCTTCCAGATGTGGAAGGTCGATGTAGACCTGAAGCATCCACACTGGTTCAATGCTGTTAATGCAGTTAAAGGTACATCTACTAAATACTGCCTGAATATTTATGCAATCGCTGTTTATTTTTAATTCACTGGCATTACTTTGTAGACGTCTGTTTTCACTTTGACTTGAAAGTGTCTGTTTTTTGTAAAATCCTTGTTCAGAAAGTCCCATTAAATTGTGGTTTCATGTTCAAAGGGAGACAATTTAAGAGATATGAATGTTCTTTATGGGCACTGTCAAAGAATTGAAGAGAAAACTGATTGTTTACGTGGATGCCCGGTCTGTATGGACAATAACCTGGACGACCCTGTGATAAATCATAACGGACAGTTTCACAGATTCCAAAAAGAGCACGTTTCAGAACATCCAATTTGATGCTGCCAGGAATATTCTAAAGAATCTTGCCAAAGTAAAAGTTCACATTTAAAAATCATCTTCTGCTTCAGACAACCAAAACAAATCAGGATTGTTTAATTCAGTCTTAACAAACAATGTCCCTTTAGACAGGGCAGTGGAGAATAACATTTATCAGCAAGACCCAAAAACACCTCAGGAACATCTGTATGTCTCAGCTGCCAGCTGTAAAGTACAAGTTCTAACCTAAACAAACCTGTGCTTTCTCTGTTAACATAGTTTTATACATGGTTCTGTGTAGAAATCCTCTTTTACTTGAATAAAACTTCTCAGCTTTGGCTTCTTACAACTCATATATCTAACATTGCTTATTTATCTTTGTTTGGCTGCCTTTATGTTCCACTGCAAGTTATTCCTATAAATGGACTTCACATGAGAAATGGAAAATATTGCCTCTCAGGATATGATTCCACTGAGAGATCTTTGTGATCAGGTCTATCTGTGGTAGTTAAACAGCTTCACCAGCTCACCTCTCTGCTCCACCAGACATGGCCGCCGTCCCATATCGCCATCAGCAGCTCGTTTAGCAGTAAATGGCTCAGTTACTGTCTGAGGCGTCCTCAGAACCTTTCACGAAAACTGAGCCACCACCGAGTTCTAATGTTTTGTGAAGGTTCTATTCATCACAGACTCTCATTGACAGATTCTGCCGACACTTGAACTCCTTCTGTAAAGCCAATACAAGTGTACTTTAGGAGTGTCAAACAAATGACAAAATATATTTCCTCTACTGCTTTCTAAAATGTGTTTTACTAGTTTTATTAGTCTATAAACTCAAAATATTTATTATTATTGGCAAATGAACCTCTTTTTCTACGACCAACTCGACGTCCTCCACACGGTCTCCGAGTGTTGCTGTTTCTCTCCATAATACGTGTTTGTAAACTCTTCACTTTGCTTTGTGAGGTTCCCTGAGAGGACTGATGATGGGAATTGGCACCATATAATAAAACTGAATCGATGGCGAGGTTGGTCTGCTTCATGTCCAGATCATTTACATAAAGAGAAAAGTAGTACAGCAGAATAAAACCAGCCTGTCCTGGATCTATTTACCTGCAAGCAAGAATCTGGAGCTTTATACAAGACTTGTATGGCATTTTTAAATTCCCTCTCAGCACCACAATATATTAATCTAGACTCTAGGTCAGGGATCTCCAGCTCTGGTCCTCGTGAGCTCCTGTCCTGCAGGTTTTAGTCGTTACTGCAACACACCTGACTCACATTAATGGACCTCCAACAGCTTGTTGTCAAGTTCTACACAAGTCGGTTATTGATCCATTAATGTGAGTCAGGTGTGTTGCAGTAACGTCTAAAACCTGCAGAACAGCAGCTCAGGAGGACCAGAGCTGGAGATCCCTGACCTAAAACATCTCTGCTGATAGAATCAACAGAAGAAGCAGTTGTGTTTTCTCTTCTCGTCGTCTCACCACAGAGCATAGAACGTAAAAATGGTCTCGTTCTGCTCATCCAGTCTCTGGGTAACGATTAAGCTCATGATTGAGGATACTTGATTATAATTCATACTCTGTACTAATCAAACTAACACCTGCGTAATCTATTAGAGCTCAGGGGTCAGTCAGGAGCTTCATCACAGACTCAACCGGTCATCACAGAGCCTTCAGAGAGACATCCGCCGTGAGCCTGATCTGATTGAATAAACACTTCCTACTGGTCTACCTGACACTTGTTGTCTCCGTCGGGGCTGATTGTAAGTGTTGTTGCCCAACACAGTTACACAACAGCTTGTGGTTTGCAGGGGATTCAATGAAATCTAAGTGTCTCTCTCTCTACAAACGCTGTATCATCTGCCTCTGAGAAGGCGTGGGATTACTTGAAATGATTTTAAATATGTAAAAAATGTCACCTTAAATGTCGCACCATGTGTTAAAGACACACTTTGTGGAATATTTTCATAAATAAACTAATTATTGCTTGAGAGCCGTTGTCGTGTTCGGTTCAGTGCTTCCACTACGATCCCAGAGACGTGGAGACTTGTCCACCGGTGATATAACTCCACATCAGGTCTTGCTGCTGCCAGCGACCCTCCGCTGCGTCCTCCTCCGTCGGGGAACAGGGCGTACGCCTGCCACAGCGTTTACCATAACTCGTCTACCCACAGAAACGGACGTCATGCCATGGACCGTTGTGCACCAGCGGTTTCCCTTTGTGGGATGGGCATGATTTCAACACAGCGGAGGACGGAGATGAGGAGCGCAGAGATAGTATCAGTGTTTGGGGCTGCCAGGGCCTTCCTGTGGCTGTGATGGCAGTGAAGGGACACAGAGATAGGAGTCAGACAGGAGGCGGGGGGTGGGGGCAACAAGGCAGACGTTGTTTTTTTTCTTCTAATTTGTCACCCTTGTCTCATATTCAGAAATAAAGAAAACACACACTGTTCTCGAGTCCTTGTTTTTTTTTGGTTCTCATATTAAAAACTATTGCATGTAAATACTAATTAAAACACACGTTGAGCTTCGTTTGATTAAAAGACCTGCAGCTTGAGCAAAGCTAACGTAGATTAGTCACACAATAAAATAACATCACCGCTCAGCACATCTCAAAAGCAGTCGAAAAGGATATTAACGAGATGTAAAATTATGTTTATAGGCAATTTTACAATTCATCAAACTGAACTGATTATGAATGCAACACGACTTTAATGAGCGCTCCTGCTGCTGGTGAGCAAATCTAATCACATCCAGGCTCTGAGTTTGAGGGTTTCATCAGATTTCATTACAGCTCTGCACACATAAGAGTGAACAACTGATGAAAAGCACATCACACGCTCTGAAAAGACCGAAAAGAGCAGTAATATGAAGAGAATAAAGCTCAAACTCTCTCCTGTTTTTAAGATTACAATCTGCAGACACCTGTTATCTTTTAATGAACTCCTCGTTCAAATAAAAGGAGTGAAAGTGTGACAAAGGCTTCTTACGGCCCTCAAGTGTCTTTAGAGACAAGTAAAGATTTCTTGTGCGACCGTGTCTGATGAAATGTCCCGCAGCGTCGTGTGGGGCAATCTGTGGTCCCAGGACTGCAACATCTCCACAGAGTGAAGAAAGACTGTGTTTCACCCAATCCCTACCGAGTTACTCAACAGCAGCAGACCGTCTGAACCCCACCGACTGCAGCGGCTCCAGTCCTGCTGAGCGGGTTCGAGTGGCAGCAGCACCGAGTTCGTCTCCAGAGTGGACCAGCATGCAAACAGAGCTGGTCCAAATACGGGAGGCATCATTTATTCTTTTGCTTTGTTGTTTTCAGTACTTCCGCCCTCCACGTTTACATTTATCGTCCGGTGCAGCTTTCTTCACTTCAGGTTCCCATCAT